CAGATGTAATGAGCTGTCACGAGATAATTGCAAGAACCTGGATTGAATGCACACAGAGATTCAATGATGCATGGTGGCTTGGAAAGGTAGATTTGCTACTGGAAGATCAGCACAAATATTAAAGCACTTATGAGATGTGACTGTAGACCAATGCACAGGGCAATACCAGATGCCAATGTCATAGAATCCCTACAGTCTAGAAACAGGCCATTCAGCCCACTGAGTCTGCGCTGACCCTCTGAAGAGCATTCAACCCAGATCCAGGTCCCCACACTCATCCTCGTAACACCGCAGTTCCCATAGCTAATCCATCTACGCTGCACATCCCTGGGCACTACAGGGCAGTTTGCCATGGCCAATCCACTTAACCTGCACCTCTTTAGTATGTGGGAGGAAACCGGAGCAACCAGAGGAAACCCACATAGACATGAGGAGAACATGCAACTTCCATACAGTAAGCCAAGGCTGGAATCAAACCCTGTGAGGCAGTAGTACTAACACTGAGCAACCATGTCACCCTCAATGTCACCACTGAGATCCTCAGTTCATGAACGTCACCACATTACTATTCCTTCCAGTGGTATGGTGCTGCGCACTTACAGGGCATCAGAATGACCAGCACAGATAACACAGGACGCAACATAAATCTGTGTACGCAGGAAAAATGTGCTCATTATTCTAGGGAGAGTCAGACAATGGGAAGGAAGACTGCCTTTCATTACTGGGTGATACCAATGGAGAAGGGGGAGACCATGGAGATGGGATGGGCCATGCCTAGTTAGCTGGGTAAGAATCCTTCTACATGGGAACATGTACTGGCCCATTAATATCTTGCAGTTTGGTCTCATTTCCACCATTATACTTATAGGTTGCAAATACATCTGGCACAGACTTGGGAACTGCCTGCACTCAGGCCTATCAGATGTGGTTGGTTTGTAATCCTCTCCAAAGCCTCATAGAATTTGGGCACACCCTTCCTAGGTTCAGGGCAGAGACTATGAATGACAGTGGCAGTGAAGCTGTACTTGACAGACATTAATTGTTGATGGTCTTTGTAACGTTCAGTGTGGACTACCATCAATAGCAGATTGAAAAGGGGTAATCACCTCTTACTGGGAGGCCTGCTGGAGTCACCAGGGATATCCAGCTAGTTGCCCACGTTTCTGAAGCACGCTAGCGACTAGCAACTAGCAGTTCCATTACTGATTGGCATCACCTCTAATGCCATCTCCATTATCTTCTGCCTTTGCTCAACAGGATCCATCTCTACAGGAAAGGGAACAAACATGGGGCTCATTGCTATTGTCAATTTTAACAAAGAAGCTATTGTAGCAGTCATGGGCATTGAGGCCCAGGTGGTTACAATTCAGACAGCATGCTGGGATATCACTTCTTGGAATGAGGTTTTAGATGCTCCTGAATTCTGGCTAGGCAATGGCCACTATATTAACCTCAGCAGGGCTGAAGTGAACGTTGTCACCAAACTGCTTCATATGGGAGTATGTGTGTAACCTTTCCCAGTGGATTGTTTTGGTGTTGTAAATGCTGAACCTGGTATGCACTAATAGCTGGAGGTTGTTTAAAAATAGATTTTTGAAACTGAATGAATTAAAATGATAAGCTTTACCATCTCTCAAATGTTGGCAAAAATCATGGAAAACACAGCGTGGAGCTGGAGGAACACAGCAGGCCAGGCAGCAACAGAGGAGCAGGAAAGTTGACGTTTCGGGTCTGGACCCTTCTTCAGAAATGGGGGAGGGGGAAAGGAGCTCATGGAGATTGTCTGGGAACATGTTTGGCCTTTTGAAAGGGTCCTGGTTGATGTTAACTAGGACTTGGTCACTGTTGATGTTCCCATCCCCAATAACTTTTTTGAAATATTTGTTCATGGGTGTCAATGGCAACACCAGCATTTATTCCCCAGCCCTAACTGGCCAAAGGGCAGTTCAGAGTCAATCCCTTGATATGGGTCTGGAGTCACATATCAGTCAGACCAGGTAACGATGGCAGATTTCCTTCCCTAAAGGACATTAGCGAACCAGATGGTTTTGTTTTCAAGACAATAATTGCCAATGGTTATATAGTCACCATTAGAATTGGTTTTTTTAAACTGAAATCAAATATCAGCAACTGCCACAATGGGGTTTGAACCTTTGCCTGTGATCCTGGATTACTAGTCTAGTGACATTACCAATATGCCACCGCCTCCCCAACAAACCAGCCTGCATCTTTCCCAGCATGCATTTGTTCAGAGTGTCCTGATCTACTACTTGTTTTAGCTCCGGGGAGCACATGGCCACAACAATCGGCTTAAGATCGTCCTTGGCAGTTCTAGGTCAGTGACTGTAAACATCTACCACTTTGGAGCGAGGAGAAGCAGATCAGTCCTCATATCCACTGTCATTCTTTAGAGGCTTGATCTTACTAGGGCTGAGGAACCTGTGTGTGATTGTGATAAACTGTCCCCATCTCTTTATACGTTTGGTCTTGTGCTTAAGCTGTCTGCCTGCTTGGATCCAGTGAATTCACACAGCAATATTTCCTGTCTGTCTTGTGCAGAAAAAAGTAGTGTAGGGAGTGTGAGGTCCTCAACTACACTGGCCCACCTTGATGACTGTATCGGCACTGTCTTGTGCTCCCACGAGGACTTTGAACAGTTCATCAACTTTACTAGCACCTTTTGCCCCAACCTGAAATTCACCTGGACCATCTCCGATACCTCCCTCTCCTTCCTGGACCTCTCTGTTTCCATCTCTGATGACTGCCTTGTAACCAACATTTATTTCAAACCTACCGACTCCCACAGCTACCTAGATTACACCTCTTCTCAACCACCTTCCTGCAAGAATACGATCCCCAATTCCCAATTCCTCCACCTCCGCTGCATCTGCTCCCAAGATGGGGCATTCCATTCCCGAACATCCCAGATATCCACCTATTTCAAGGACCGTAACTTGCCCCCTCCAGTGATTGAAAATGCCCTCAAACGCATCTCTTGCGTCTCCCACACCTCTGCCCACACATCGCCTCCCCCCAACAAAAACAAAAATAAAGACAGAATCCCCCTTGTTCTCACGTATCACCCCACCAACCTCCGCATCCAGCGTATCATTCTCCGCCACTTCTGCCACCTACAATCCGACCCCACAACCAAAGAGATGTTTTCCTCCCCACCGCTATCTGCCTTTTGTCAGGACCGGTCTCTCTGCGACTCCCTTGTCCGCTCCACACTCCCCACTCCCCACTAACCCTACCACCCCCAGCACCTTTCCCTGCAACCGTAGGAAGTGCTACACCTGCCCCTACACCTCCCCCCTCACCTCCATTCAAGGCAGAAATCAAACCTTCCACATCAGGCAGTGGTTCACCTACACATCCGTCAACTTGGTCTATTGCACCTGCTGCTCCCGATGTGGCCCTCTTTACATCGGTGAGACCAAGCAGAGACTCAGAGACCATTTTGTAGAAAATCTGCATTCTGTACGCGACAAACAACAACACCTTCTGGTTGTGAAACATTTTAAATACCCCTCCCACTCCCTGGGTGACATGTCCATCCTGGGCCTCCTTTAGTGTCACAATGACACCACCTGCAAACTGGAGGAGCAGCGCCTCATATTCCGTCTCGGGAGCCTACAGCCCAATGGTCTAAATGTGAATTTTAGCAGTTTCAAAATCTCCTCACCCCTGCCTCATCCCGTGACCAACCCTCTCTCTCATCCCCACCTCCTTGACCTGACACAACCTGTCCATCTTCTCTCCCACCTATCCACTCCTCCCACCTCACTGACCAAACCCCACCACTGCCTACCTGCACTCACCTATCACCATCCCACCTACCTTCCCCAGCCCCAGCCCCAGCCCCAGCCCCCCCCCTCCTCTCTATTTATTTCTGAGCTCCCCTCCCTGAGTCTGAAGAAAGCTCTCGACCCGAAACATCAGCTTTCCTGCTTGGCCTGCTGTGTTCATCCAGCTCTACACCGTGTTATCTTGACATGAAATGTCAGCTTTCTTGAACCTCTGATGCTGCGTTCCTCCAGCTCCACACTTTCTTATATCTGGCATTGACTATCTGCTTTGGGGTACAGCAGCCATCACTGTCCTCTTGTCAGATTCCTCTTTGATCTATTTAACCTAAAGGTGACTTCTGGCTCAATTGGTACCCTTTTGCCTCCATGATATTACATCTACATCCGACTGGCACAGCAGAACCTGCTTTTATTTAACTGCTATTGCTAATTTTCCATCAGAGGTGCACTTTCATATTATACTTGATGACATTCCTGCACCTGTTACAAAGACCAGAACTAGAACTAAAACCGAAACTAGAACTAATGATGGAAGATTTGGAACTGAAAATGAGATTTTGCTGCAAAAACACCATCTCATAAATCCTTAACTTTCAAAGGCATCACCACATTCTGTTGACCAATTTTGATGTAACTTGTTAGAAGAGTTCAACTCATGAGCATGAATTATCCCACAAAACTCTGTTGGTAATGACGATTGCCTCCAAATCAATGAAACACCAGAACCCAATATACTGTTTAGTCCCTAGTTTTCTTTTATGCCTTTGCTAAGGAGGAAGCAGTGATCTTGCAACCAGACTGAAACAGTTGATTGAATGGTAGACTGAAACAACACAGGCCATTCAGCCCCTCGTCTCTGTTAGAATAATCTGGTGATTTGTTTCATTCCGGTTGTTGTAAACTTGCCAGGTGCAAATGGATTACTGTGACTGGGCCTCAAACATTCTTCATTGCATATGGAACGCTTAGGACCACCTCAGATCATAGCTGAAAGGTGCTATATAAATGCAAATGTACGTGCTTTCTGGTTCTTAGCTTTCCTCTCTCCCCAAATTTGTCCACTTGGTTTACAATATTCACTCGCTTTTAAATGAAAACCTTCTCAAAACCTATCTCTGTGGTCAAGCCTTCAGTGAACCGCCCTAAATTTCTGCTTTTGCAGTTCCCCAATAAGGTTACCGCAATTTACATCAGTGCGACGTGCTTTGGGGAAGTTGATGGCGTTATATAAAGGCAAATAGTTTTTGCCGTTATCTGTACCCGATGTGGCATTAGGAAGCTGGGTTTCTGCCCTGCAGCATCGTATGAATTAAGAGCTGAGCCCCGCTCTTTAGGTCTCTATTTCCCTCCTGCAATGTAGGTTTGACTTCTCTGCCTTGTCCCCACGTAATCCCAGGCCCGGGACACAGGAAGCAGGGACAGACTGAAGAGGAAGCTCTGAATAAAAGGCTGCTCCTCCTGCAGTCCGGGTGAGTTTGGTGTCATTCCCGAGAAAGTCTCTCTCTCTCTGCTGGGAGGTGGTCGTTTTCATCCGGTTCTGATTTAAAGGGACGGGAACCGGTTATACCGTGAGCTGCCAAGCCTATTCTCCTTCTGAATATTGTTGGTGCTTCTCTCTTATTTCTCTGTTCAGCCCCGCTGCTGCTCAGGCGATTACTTGTCCTTGCCTTTTAAACCCAGACCCAGAATATTTGGCAGGTCAATGGGACTTTGTGAATGCAAAGACTGCCCTTGCATGGACAAATTTCTGTGTCCCCCTGCCGAGAATTTGGCCTGGAGTCAGCCAAAGGTGCATGTTTTGAGGGAACGTCTCCCTGGAAAGCGAGATGGGGTTGGGGTATATGTGGATTAGCACTGATTGGGACAGCGTTTGGGAAAGGGGGTTTTGGGGGCTTAAATATTCCATACTGCATTCAACTAGCACCGCCGGACGCCCAAAGCACTTCACGGGCGGCCAAACGTTTAGTTTGAAACGTAGTGAATGTCGTGAAGGAAAAGAAGCAGCAAATTAGGGTTAAATTTTTGAAAGTGCAGCTCCCATGCCCATAATGTGATATGGTAGCCAAAATCCAGCATTCCTATTACTGCTTGGTAATCAGAGAGGGTACAACCCTGTTTTATTATCTAATACTTTCTGTTGAGGCTGGGATTCTTGGGAAGGGAGTCTATGAGCAGCTCCAAACCAAAGCATTTCCTTTCATTCTCATAAGGATAGCACAACTGGATGGAATTGGAAAGTTTCCCAAAGTGCTGCTGCTAGATCATGTGATATGGTGTACATCATTTAATCATGTGACATTTAGCCACAGTCAGCAAGTATTGTTATGCGTACAAGTTTGGGATTTTGTGGTAAAATTGTAGTGTCTCTATCTCTGAGCTAGGAGGCTGGGGTTCAAGCCCCACCTGCTCCAGAGGTGTGTAGTTACATCTCTGAACATTTTTGATCAGAAAATATCTGCAAACGCTTGAAAATATTGCAATCTACCAACACCAATATCTCAGTATCGCCAAGTGCAAAATAATGTGTTTTTCGTTTTATAGAATTAAAAGCTTGCAGTGCTATCAAATGGCAATGTCACTGATAAACCCAAAGGAAGGATGCAAAATAATAGAAATTTAAAAATAAGTAGTATTGAAATAAAAATGTGATGTTTCTCCTGTTCTCTTATATTGCACCTGCTGTAGATGTGTTCTTCTGTTGCCTAGCCCACAAGTCTCATTCATCAAATACCCAAACCACATTGCTCCAATCTGGCAACATCTCAGTGTTAAGGTTCTCATTCTTGTTTTCAAATGAACTCCCTTTCTATCTCTGTACCTGCTTGAGCTGCAGAAACCCATAATGCATGGATGGATGTTATTCAGCTCCTAAACCCTAAGCTGGATTCCCAAGTAAAACTTTCCACATTGCTCCCTGTCTTTCTTTAAGTTGCTTCTTTAAAATTACCTGCTTGGCTAAGTTTTGGTCACTTGTGGCAACAAACAACTTCTTCCATAGCTTGTTATGAAGTTTTGTTTCAAAATGCACCCGTGGAACAAATAGGATATTTTAATACTTTAAAGTACTATAATGTTAATGAGCATAAAGTTTCATCACCAACATGATGTCTAAATACCATAAAACAATAATTCTTCTATTTACATTTAATCCCTATTTATGTCAAATATTCCAGTTTTGAATTTACGTCCTGTGATAGCAATGGTTCAGTCAGCAGCACCCTCACTCTGAGTCACAGGCTTCCAGTGTGAAAATCCATTCTATGTCTTGAACAAATCAAGACTGCTGTTCCTGTGCAGTACTGAAAGTGTGCTGCACTGTTGGAGCTGTTGTCTTTCAGATGAGGCATGAGATCAAGGCCTCGCTTCGCTTCTCAAGAGGATGAAAATGATTCCTTGGTGCTTATTTGAGAAAGAGTAGGGGAACTATCCCTAGAGTCCTGGCTAATGTTTATCCCTCAATCGGCATCACTTGACCAGAATGTCTAGTCATTATTACATTGCTGTTTGTGGCTCTTTGCTGTCTGCAAATTGGCTGCAGCATTTCCTGCGTTATATCAGTAACTACATAAGGGGAGCTGGTGGTGTCATGGTCATTTTACTGGAATAGTAATCCAGATACTTAGGCTAATGCTCTTGGCATGTTGATTTGCATTCACTGTGGTAGATGATGAACTTTTCAGGGGGCTAGTGGGGCAGTGGTAGTGACCTTACCTCACAGTTTTTTTAAATATATAAAAAGGAAGAGAGAAGTCCAAGCGAAATTTGGCCCTTAGAGGTTGAGGCAGGGGAAATAATAATGAGGACCCAGAAAATGGCAGAGGAGTTGAGGAAAAAAAAACTTGCTTTAGTCTTCACATTGGAAAATACTAATAGCATTCCAAAATTGTTAAATATTCAAGGGGCAAGAGAAGGAGAGAAAATAACACATCAACTATCACTAGAAGGAAAAAGTGCTAGGGAACCTAATGGAGCTAAAAAACTGATGCTTCTGTTGGACCCGATATGATGCATCCCAGGATATTAAAGAAAGCAGCTACAGAGATAATGCATGCACTGGAAGTAATCTTCCAGGAATCCTTAGGTTCTAGAAAAATCCCAGAGGACTGGAAACCTGTCAATAGAACACCTTATTTAAGAAGGGAAAGAGACAAAAAAGCAAAAGGCAGGGAAGTGGAGCTGAGGATTATCAGATCAGCCATGATCTCATTGAATGGCAGAGCAGATTCAATGGACTGAATGGCCTACTTCTGCTCCATCGTGTTGTGGTCTCTGGCTTAGGAAGCTCTGGTTCAAGTCCCACCTGTCCTGCCCTGTCATAACACATTAGAACAGGTTGATTAAAATGCTTATCAGTGACTGTAGAAGTACTTAATTGGAAGTAAAGCACTTTGGGACATCTGGTGGTCATGAAAGGCATTGTATCAAATGCAAATCTTTCTTGCTTTTCCATAATCCCACACACCTCCAAAAGCAAAATACAAACTAAATTACGTTTCCCTTGAAGTTTATTTTTCTTGAAATGTATTTCTCAAGAATGTTAAGATTTATTGAGTCTCTTAATAAAGATTAGGCCTTCAATTTTCAGTTCTTAACAGTTAATTCTAACTTAAATGCATTAAATTAGTTTCTAGATTACTTTTACTTTTAGCTTTCTCTTGTACATTTTGAAATCTGCAGCAGCACCTTCCATCATTAACATAGTTTCATTAGAAATGAAAGAAGCTGCATCCTTGGTGCCAGACAATTAGCAGGGTCCATGGAATGCTGCTTGGTCACTGGCCAAGACTGTTTGGTATGAGCTAAAAGCAAAAGGAACATTTCTCCATTGGTCTGTCAGCAGCTGTGTGAAGGAGACCAATGCCACATTCTGGGATTTCCTGAGCATTCTGGGGGGCTGGCAATTTTATGTCTCTTGTTGGATAAATTCAATCCTTTTGAAAAACTACGTTTTGATCGACTGATTATGAAAGAAACATTTGAGGGAGCCTGCTTTGAATTCAAGATGTGCAGTAACAGGGGAATAACTGTGTTGTTAGCATAGCTTATGATGGGTGAACATTTATACACTTACCTATAAAATGCTAGACCATTTTATTAGTTAAACAGCAGTTTTAAATCTTGTTTAAATACGTGATAGTATTTTCTTAGAATTGTAAATGCCACCGAATCTTGCCTCCACGTCACATTAAATGTACCATGAATGGTGCTTGGTAGTACAGTTAAAACCTGGCTATACAAAGGCCCCATAGACTAGGCAGAGCTAAACATGAATATTGAAGGGTCTATTTTGAAGGGAATATTGAAACGTCAGCCTTCCTGCTCCTCCAATGCTGCTTGGCCTGCTGAGTTCATCCAGCTCTACACCTTGTTATCTCATGAATATTGAGTGTTGGGATTAAAAGAAAAAGGCATTAGTAACGAAAACAGAAATTGCTGGAAAAGCTCAGCATCTGTGAAGAAAAAAATCAGAGTTAACGTTTCAGGCCTGGTGACCATTCCTTGGAACTGATGTTAGCTGGGAAAATGAATCAGAGATAGTAGGAACTGCAGATGCTGGAGAATCCGAGACAACAAGGTGCAGAGCTGGATGAACACAGCAGGCCAAGCAGCATCATAGGAGCAGAAAGGCTGACGTTTCGGGCCTAGACCCTTCATCAGAAATGGGGGAGGGGAAGGGGGTTCTGAAATAAATAGGGAGAGAGGGGGAGGCGGA